GATGGATGGATGGATGGATGGATGGATGGATGGATGGATGGATGGATGAATAGATGGATGGATGGATGGATGGATGGATGGATGGATGGATGGATGGATGGATGGATGGATGGATGGATAGATGGATAGATAGATAGATAGATAGATAGATAGATAGATAGATAGATACACAGACAGACAGACTGACCACCAGTCCAGTAGATAGGTGGATAGACAGATCCTATAGGAGGAGGAGGGAAATGAGGACCTTGCCAGAAAGCAATAGGAGAGAACAGTCTAAGCCCTTGGCCCTTGAAGCAGCATCAGCATCAACACACCTAGAACTTGGCAAAAACACAGAATCTCAGATCCCACCCATACCCACAGAATCAGTATCACTGGCAGTGGGGCTTAAAAATCTGCATGTTTTCTAGAACCAGTGCTCACTCAGTGTGAGAGCCCCCCATACTTTATTATTAGGTGTAATTAAGTTCCCATCTCTGTTTCAGCCGAGGGGCATGCTAAGTTCAGTTGAAAGGAAAACAAAAGAGCTGGTTCATTAGTTACCATCCTGTTTATCCTTGCACTGTCAATGCTAATTGCCTCTTTGTTTTCCTAGGGCTCCCTGCCTGCACTAAAGTTATTAGTCCTTACCCTTAAGGGGGCTTTATCACCAGCACAGTTGATGGTGCTCATCAGTCACTAAAGAATCCTGCCTTTCTGCGACTCTCACCCACCTTGCATTTCATAGGCCAGACCCAAAATGAGCCATCATCGTGGGGATTTTTTTACGCAGTTGATGGTTAATCCTTTAATGGAGGATATAATCCCTGAATTGTAGATGGGCTCTCATTCCTTAAGCACGGAGTGATGTTCACTCTGTTTTTACACAGACCTATCCTCTAGGCATTGTCAGAGGCTCCACAGACGAGGCTGCTTTGCAAGTGAGAATTGCTCTTAGCTGCCTCCACCCTGGGGTTAAAAGACCCTTGACTGACTCCTTGGACTGACTATCAGAAGATGCACTTAGACGCATACTAGTGCCAGACTCCTGTATGAGCATGGCCAATACCAAGTCTTTTCCCATAAAGATAAGTGTCTGGCTCCAGGGAATACCCCAGGACCTAGGTGCCACCTCCATCTACCACCTGAGCTGGGATTGATAGTGTTTCTCAATCTGCCTAGAACTTCTTAAGGGGAGTTTGAAGGAAACAAGTTTTTTGAACTCCTTTATTTATACCAAATTTTCTTCAAGATCCTTTCACCAATGTTAATAATGGTTCATCATTTAGCACTTAGAAAATGCCATCCTCTTGTCCACATGGATTAATACGTCTAGTATAACCTTCTGTAGCGAATCTTACCATGCGCATTCTAGGGAACTGAGGCTTGGAGAAGGTAAAGCACAGCTGGTAAGTGGTACAGTTAGAGTCTGAATGCAAGCAATGTGGCTCCCAAGCTTATGATCTTAACCATCGGAAAAAAAACATCATATTCCAGAAACTTCAGGGACTCCTGGGGGCAGATCTGCCTCTCCATTTTTCAGATACAGAAATAGAGGCCAGAAAAAGATCCCACCACTAAAACAGACTGACTTCTGATTCCATCCCAGGTGTGTCAGCTATAAAAGTGCAGCTTCTTCTTCCCCAAACCCTCTGCCCTCCATCCCTGCTCCTGAGCCAGGCTGAGGAAAGCCCACACCCCTGCTGCCAAGGTGGAAGCTGCTGCTCCTAGAGAACTGCTGAAGGCCAGCGGGGCTGGCCAGGGTGGGAGACCACGAGAGTGTTCTGGGTTCAGACTGTGACTGGATACAACCTTCTGACCTGTGCCTTCTGCCGTAGAACTCTTCATGGCAATGACATTTCCAGCGTTCCTGAAGGCTCCTTCAATGATCTGACATCTCTTTCCCACCTGTAAGTAGCCATAATTCTGCCCAGTGTGCATTCACTCAAAACAGAAAATTATGATAGTGCCAGCAACAGTTTGCTGTCTGTTCTTTCCATATGTATAGGTGGTCATTCCTGCAAATCTGCATAGACTGGTCTGGGAGACTCCAGGCTGCCAAAATCCAAGGATATTCAAATCCTTTCTATTAAATGGCACAGTGTTTCCATGTAGCCTGCTCACACCCTCCTGTATTCTTTAAATCATCTCTCGATTACTTACAGTACCTGGTACAATGTAAATGCTATATAAATATTTGTTGTGCTGTATTGGTTACAGAATAATGACCAGAAAACAGGTCTATTCATGTTTAGTACAAACACAGCTTTTGACTCTTATTTCTCATCCACATTTGGTTGAACTGCAGGTGTGGAACCTGAAGATTCAGAAGACCAGCTGTCGTTTATTTTAGGACAATATATTTATACTGCCCACATTTGTCTTGTTCTCTGCCTCAGATGCCTTCAAAGGAGATGCAATTCTGTAAACTGTAAATATTTAATAGGAACTACCAGAAAACACTAAGTGCCAAACATGCAGATAAATTATCAAATTTGTTGCTTACAGCAGTAAGGCATTTTATCACTTTATACATGATGAAAGTAAAACTTAGAAAGTTAAAGAATTTGCCTGAGTTGCATAGCCAGTAAGTAGCAGAGCTACAGGTCAACTCAAGGTCCCCCCCCCCACCTCCCAACCCCATAGCACATATTCTTAACCATTCTGCATTCTGGAGCAAGTGTACCCTGCTTATTTTACACAAGGAAACCAAGGCCCATAGATATTAATTGACTAGCTGAAAATCACCTGTGAAGCTAATGAGACTTTAGACTGGAGCTCAAGTTCCCTAACTCCCAGAATAGCCTTCTCTTCCCTAGCAGGGAGTTCCAGGTTTGGTGTTTAGATTTTGATTACATTTCTCTGTTGGGGAAAAATTTTTTGAGTTTCTATTCCTTCTATATGTGTATTTAATTATTTTCATATTGTACATATTATGATATTTATGTTCTATATGCATATATTTTAAGATATTCAAGAGCTAGAAGTGGTAATTCATAAGATTTATTTTAAGTTCTAGAATTTTCTTCCCGGATATTGCTTTTAGAGCTATCTATATAGATATCTATATTTCCTGTGCCTTCCTCACCTGCATCTTCAAGTTCAGTGGTCTGAAATTACTTCATAAATTCTGAGTGTCAGAACCTTCTCTGCAGGATATATCCTCCATTGGACCCTCCAGTCGGGCACACGAGCCGGACAATGAGATGGCCATAGGTCCAGAAAGCTTCTTGGAGAAAGCAGGATTGGATTAGGCTCAGGATAGAATTTGATGAGAGTAGTAAGCAAAACCTGAGAAGTGAGAGGGACTTGGGTGAGGGTTAGAACCTGACTGGAAATACCTGATTGGAAATACACTCTGAAGACACTGACTTGGCTCCAGTGATGCCGGTCTCCATGTCAGACGTTCTCAATCGAACCAAAGTTGAAAACTTCTGCTTTTCCAAGGAACCAAGGAGATGGGGCCCATGGGCCAGGTTGGGAAGTGGGCCCTAACTTCTTGTTCTGCCTCTTAGGGCACTGGGAACCAACCCGCTCCACTGTGACTGCAGTCTGCGTTGGTTGTCGGAGTGGGTGAAGGCAGGGTACAAGGAGCCTGGCATTGCCCGCTGCAGTAGCCCTGAGTCCATGGCCGACAGACTGCTGCTCACCACTCCCACCCACAGGTTCCAGTGCAAAGGTAGGTGCTGCACACCCACCCTCTTCCCTGCCCTGGTGGTGTCTGCTCTGTCTCCAGCTTGTCAGACCTGAGCATCTCAACAGACGTGACTCCTAAAACCATTACCCTGTCTCTCCCGTGGCTCGCAGAGAGACTCTAATACTGAAATCAGTATGGAAACCTATCTAAAGACTTTTTGTCATTCTGTCCCCCACGGCCTTCTGCTGCCTTGTTTACTTGTTTGACTTGTTGGTTGGTTGGTTTTTGTGCTGGAGACTAAACCTAGGGCCTGCAGCATGCTAAGCACATACACCACTGAGCTGCACCCCTAGACTCTGCTGTCATTTTCACATAGTCATCCCTCAGTATCCACAGGGAACTGGAACAAGGGCCCCCCACAGATACATATCAAAATGTGAAGACACTTGAATCTTTTATATAAAATGGTGTTGTGTTTGCATATGACTCATGTAGACCTGGCTATATATTTGAAATCCTCTCTAGATTATTTATAATACCTAATGCAATGTAAATGCTATATAAAAAAGTTGTTGCATTGTATTGTTTAGGAATATTGACCCCCCAAAACAAGAATATACATGTTTAGTATAGGAAAAATTGTTTTTCCAATTGTATTTTCCATCTGTGTTGGTTGAATCTATGCATGCAGGATACCGAGGTCCAACTATACTTCCTCAGTGACTTCTTTCTGTACATATTTTTCCATAATTGAGAACATCTTTAATCTGCATTTTTACCCATCATTATTAGATTTTCCCATTTTACTACAGCAAACTTTTTTTCTTTTTTTTTTTGGAGACAGGGTCTTGCTATGCAGTTCAGGCAGGCCTTGAACTCACTTTGTAGCCCAGGATGGTCTTGAACCACAACGATCCTCCTGCCTCAGCCTCCTGAGTGCTGGGATTACAGGCATGCACCACCATGCCCAATTTACAGAAAACTTTCGTACATATGCTTTGTATTGGCTGCATCATTATTATAACTACTGAGGTTCTTATTATGTGGTAGTATCGTATTTACTTTTCTCATTGCTGAGATACCACAGGTTAAAGGAAAGAGGTTTATTTTACCTCAGTTTATAGAGGCTTCAGTCCATAATTCGTGGGCTGCAAGGCAGAGTGACATGGCAGAGGGACACTGCAGAGAAGAAATAGTTTATGGTGTGGCAGGGCAGGCAGAAGGCAGTAGGCAGCAAGCAGCAAGCAGAATAGCAGAAGGGGCAGCATAAAGCCTATGTCTCCCCTTACCCCATCCAAGCTACTAGCCTTTTGAATTGTGCTACCCATACTCAAGGTGGGGAGCCCTTAATCCCAATGTAACACCCTTAATCCAGCATCATATCCATAACCCCAATATCACACACCCTAGATCCACCCACCTCCCAAAAGCCCCATGTATGATTGCGTGGGGCTTTGAGGGGGACACCTAGATACAAGCCTTAACAGGTAGGTGCTATATTAAGTAGGTTTTTATTAATTAGTACATGTTAGTACTATTATGTTAGTAATACAGAACAGTGATGTTTGTTTTGGAGAAATAGTACCTGCATATGACATATCTTGATCATTTACAATCCCTTTACCCTTTGTTCTTAGATCTCTTCTACCCTTGATTTCTAAGAGCCTACCTTCTAGTTTCCTATTATCCCTATTTTATTCATTTATTTATATTTTAGATTTCTCATATAATAGAGAAAATATGTAATATTTAACTCTGACTCTGGCCTATTTTGTTTAACATGATGCTCTTGAATTCCATCTACTTTCCTTCAAGTGACATGACTTTATTCTTTATGGCTGAATAATATTCTATGTGTATGTATAAGCCATACTTTCTTTATCCATCCATCTATTGATAAGCACCTAGTCTCTTTTTACAGCCTCAATATTGTGAATTGTGGTGCTATACACATTGATATGAATGCGTCACTATAATAGGCCATCTCTAATTCTTTCTGGAATATACCCTGGAGTGGTAATGCTGGATCAAATACTATTTTTATTTTTAGGTTTTTGAGGAACCTCTACTGATTTCCATGGCAGCTGTACTAGTATACATTCCCAGCAACATTGTAGGAGTCCCACCTCCCGCCCTACTACCCCCACCACCAACCTCCACCTTCACATCCTTGCCAACATTCATTGCTTTTTGTATTTTTAGGTGACAGCCATTCTGGCTGGGCTGAAACGGGATCTCAATGTAGTTTTTGATTTGCATTCCCTAATGGCTAATGATGTTGAACATGTTTACATATGCAGTACTTATTGGCCATTTATACTTCTTCTTTTTTAAAAAAAAAAAAAAAGTCTACTTTGTCAATTGCCAGTTTTTTGATTGAGTTATTTGTTTTCTGGAGATTAATTTTTTTTTATTTTTTAATACTGTAGTTGTTAATCCTCCATCAGAAGAGTAGCTAGCAGAGAATTTTTCCTATTTGGTGGGTCATCTCTTCACTCTGTTGTTTCTTTTGCTGTGCAGAAGCTTTTTAATTTGATGTAATCCATCCCTTGATTCTTAATATTATTTCCTGTGCCGGTGGGGTCCTATTCATGAAGTCTTTACTTATGCCTATAGCTTTAAGTGTTTCCCCTATGTTATCTTCCAGCAGTTTCAAAGTTTCTGGTTTCATATCTAAGTCTTTCATCCATTTTGATTTGATTTTAGTACAGGGTTAGGGATAAGGATCTAGTTTCAGTCTTCTGCATAAGGATATCCAGTTTTCCCAGCAGCATTTGTTAAAGAGGCTATCTTTTCTCTATTATATGTTTTGTCAAAAGTCAGCTGTAGGTGCATGGGTTTATTTCTATGTTTTCTATGATATTCCGTGGGTCTCCATGTCTATTTTTTTTATCAATACTATGTTATTTTTGTTACCATGGTTTTGTGCTATAGCTTAAAATCTGGTATTCTGATGCCTTCAGCATTGCTCTTTTTCCCCAAGATTGCTTTGGTTGTTCTAGCTCTTTTCTGATTCCATATGCATTTTAGGATTTTTTTTCTAGCTCAGTGAAGAACATTGCTACTACTTTAATAGAAATTGCATTGGCTTTTGTAATATAGCCATTTTAACAATATTAGTTCTGCCAATCTATAAACAAGGGAAAGACTTCCATTTTCTAATGTATTCTTCAATTTCTTCTTCAGTGTTCTATAATTTTCATTATAGAGGTGTTAAGCAGTTTTTAATGTGTTCTTTTACCTAATTCTCCCTTTTCATGTGTCAAGTTATTTAATTCTTTAATACCTCTAAAGCTTAGATACTAATTTTTTTTGGTACCAGAAATTGAACTCAGGGCCCTGTGCTTGCCAGGCAGGCACTGTGCCACTGAGCTATATCCTTGGCCTTTAGATACTAATATTACCTTTACATTTAAAAATGAGAAAACTGAGGCTTAAGGATATTAAATGACTTCTAAAAATCACCTAGTTAGGATTCCAGGACTTTCTGATTCCAGAGTGCTTGGTCTTGACCACTACCTGTAATAATATTCCTTTCCAACTTACTCTAACTAGTTTCTACTTTTAAATCCTTAAACTATTTCAATTTTTCCTTACCATGGATTCATAAAGTCTTTCTGTATTTGAAATGATGTCCATAAAGACTCAAAGAATAAAAATTACTGAGTCAAAATATATAATATTTACATATATTGTCCACTTGATTTCCAAAAAGTGCTATAGCCAATTAATGCTCCAAAAAGCACTCCTTAAATGCTTCTTTTATTAGATGCTCTCATTATTTTATCTTATTTTGTAGTCTTAGCTCACACAGTGGGTTATGAAATTGGGTCTCCTTTTGGTTTTTTGTTGTTTGTTTGTTTTTTTTTTTTTTGGACCGGGAATTGAACTCACGACCTCATGCTTGCCAGGCAGGTGCTGTGCAGCTGAGCTATATCCCTGGTCCCTGTGTCTCCTTTTGTCTATCTTTAATTATTGGGGATCCTGAATTTTATGTACAAAGTTATTTCCACTTGCATTACACATTTGTCTGTTAATATTCTTTGCTCATCTATTAGAATCTTAATTTTTGATAGAAGATATACAGTACTTGCCCTCCAAAACTTCACTGTACTCCACACTTCTGCTGAAAGCACAAACACATCCCATTGATTTAAAGCTAATTTTAATTTTCTCCCTTCTGCGTCTGAGATACCAGACCTGATACTAAAAGGACCCAAGTAGCCCTACAGTAAGGTTCTTGGTCTGGGCTGCACATGCTGCAATCTTCTGCGGAGTTTTAAAAATTACTGGAGCCTAGGTCCTGCTCTCTAGGTCTTGATTAAGTTAGTCTGGGGTACAGCTTGCATATGACAACTTTTTTTTAAGTCACCATGTCTGGTTCTGGTGTGAGATAACCAACTTGACTGAGCTTGTCAGGGATCTTCCTGGTTTTAGCACTGAAATCTCTGTGTCCCAGGACCCTATCCTGGGTAAGCCAGGACAGAAGCCCTTGCTACTATCCTCGTGTGAAGACAGGTTGAACCTGCTAGTACAAGCTTTCCATCAGGACCTTCTCCTCATCTTCCAAAAATGTCACTCACCAGAGCTAATCCCAGCCTATCTCCAGGCTGAAGACTGTTAGCTCCAAGATGATTTAACACCTTCTTGACAGGGTGATACAGTTTCATCTGTCTCACTGCCAGGTGGCTCTGAGCCACCAGTGGTACATGCATGATTGTCCCATCGAGCAGCATGGGACAGTCACATCAGGTTCCTGGTGGGAACATGTTAAAGTTCTGACAGTAAGTGGGACCTGTATATCCAGGGCTTGCGGTCAAAGTTGGCTGTAACATCAGGACACAGTCTCTTTGCAAAGCTCTATATGGGGACAACAAACTCCATTGAGCCCTTATGGCTGCAAAAAGCAAGAGAAGGTTGACACTATCAGGGATATAAAATGTCCCTGAGCACATTGTCAGCACAGCCACTACGGCCTCTGAGGCCATCCGCCTCCTGCCTCTAGGGCTTACACACAGGACTTCTATGTGTCCCTAGGTCCTAGGCATCCCTCCTCAGCCTGGTACTGACTGTTCATGCAAAAGGGTGTTTGAGGGCTAAAAAGTAAAAGATCCAATTAGAGCCTGCGCCGGGAGCTTCCTGGAATATAAAAAGATATACACAGAGGGTTTTTAATTATGGCACATTGTTTGCAGATTAGCACCCAAATCGGATCATACTAATTACAGTAATTGGTTTGACTGCAGAAGTGCTTCTGTATGATGCCCCACTGTGATTTTCACTCGCTGGACAATGGTGGGATTAATGGGACTCTAGCCAGATTGGATGTGCTAGCCGAAGAGAGCCAGCTGCCCCCTGGGCTTGAGGATGGGGAGGGCCAGGGCAGGGGGCGGGCAGTGCGAAAGCCTGCTCCGAAACCTGCCATCGACACTCTGGCCCTGCTGCCAGGTCCTGTGGACATCAACATTGCGGCCAAGTGCAATGCTTGCCTCTCGAGTCCGTGCAAGAACAATGGGACGTGCACTGCAGACCCCGTGGAGCAGTACCGCTGCGCCTGCCCCTACAGCTACAAGGTAAGGTGGCAGCCCTGTCCCCTGTTCAGGCCTGAGGCTCCTCCTGGGTCCTGGCCCTATGGAGGAGCACTGCCCTGGTGCCCACCCAGCTGACTCTATCCAGGGCAGCCTGAAGAGCTCTGTTTACCTCCTACCCCTGAAAGTGCTGGCTCGGGCATGATGAAGATACAGGGATGGGGAATTCAGAAGCCTGGGGTTGCCTAGCCCACCCACGTGATGACTGACCCAGGTCAGCCAGCAGAAGAATGAGGTCCCGGTTCATCCATCTGTCCTCCCCAGAAGTCCAAACTAATTCCAAAACACTCCTTCCCTCCTGACACTACCCAGACACATCCTCCCTCCCTACCAACATCTGTAGAGCATGGGTATGTACTTGGCCTTTTGCTCACCTTTTCTTTTTAAATTCCCAGGGAACCTATAAAGATGGTCTCATGAATTCCTATCTTACCCAAGAGGAAACTGGGATTCAGATTGTCAACAGGGCTCGACTCGGTGTGAGCAGTAGGTTTGGGACTAGGACCCAGGGCTGTATGAATCACAAGCTAAAGTCCTCTCCCCTGGAGGGCTTCCTAGGCAGCTGAGCTCCTCACTAGGCCTCACTGGAATCAGCAGGGCTGTAGCTTGGTCCTCTTCTGCAGGGCCCAGGTTCTAGCCTAATAAGACACCCATTCCAACGTACTGAGTAAGTCAAGAGTTTCAAAATAGCCCAGCAGCTCTTCCAATGCACACGCCTGGTACAGGCTGAGTGACGAGGGCTGGCGTTGCCCCATCTCCATCCCCAGAGGGAGTGTGCATGCGTAGTGACAAGCTTGAGAGGCAAACTCCATCTTGGGGACAGGAGCACCTGGTGGCTTTCTCAGCTGTGCCCAAGCATCCAGTGGATGGTGTCAGACTGCCACCTATTGGCCTGGGCCAAGAGATCCCTAGGGCTGTCTGAAGCCAGCCATCGCCAAAGCCTCGAACTCACTGGAGTCCCAGATCTCTGCATCCTGAACAGTCATACAAGCAATTACGGACTCGAAGAAGAGAAACTGAGAGCTGACCTGCTCAGGAGGCACAGTCCTCTGAAACCGCCTTGTGTGGGTTCAGTGGAGAAAACTCAGACCATGGAATTGCAGAGAAGCACGCATGGGTTCTAGCTTTGTCATTTTCTAGCTGTGGCAGTGGCTAGTAGCTCCACTCCAGCCTTCCCACCTGCACACGAGGACCTGACTCACAGGTCTGCTGTGAGAATCATGTGTATAGTAACGAATGCAATACACCTAGGACAGGACCTGGCAGGCAGCAAGCATTCAACTTGCATACTGCTCCCTTTACCTTCACCCTTGCCTGTTGGTCCCTCGTGCCAGGGTATAAGATGAGCCACCAGTAACAGCGTGCTACTGCTTTTGTCAGGGATTATCAGTCTGCGACACTGTGAGCTGTCAGCGACCCTCAGTCACCCTCTTAGCACTATGACATATGCATATAGAACATTCCCTATTCTGGTGTACATGGCTGGTTCTTTTCTTTCCCCCTCCCCCTTTCCTCCTTTCTTCCTTCCTTTTTCTCTCCTCCCCTCCCCCTCCCCGCCC